TTGTGTTGTGGATTCATTATAGACTGTGATTGGGAGTTAAGATTTTGAATCAATTTTTAAATCATATTTTACATGCGCGCGTTAAAAATACTAACTACAATTGTTGAGGTGCTAATAATTATTTGAAAGACATGAACAGTTTCGTATATAATTTAAATATAAGCCAATTTTTATGCAATTGTAAGAATACCACATGCAATTTTTACTTAAAGATTAACTTGTGTTGTTCTTCTACGCGATTCTCATTAATGCAAATAAGCTGAAAAGGCTTTAATGCCTTGTTTATAATCAATTTATAAATATATGTGTTTTATGTGTTCTATTGGCAATCTAATAAACTTAATAATGCATTATTTATTATATATAGATTTGCATGCATATATGTGGGTATCCTCATACATATATGGAAATAAGTTCCTAAATCAAGCAAGTAAATCAAAGTGCCTTAATTGAGAATTTGGCTAATACTAATTTCTATAAAAATAATACGTAATTATCAATATGCCGCGTCTTGGGGCCTTGACCCAGTCAGCTGGGCCAGCTGGATGGCTAATCGTAGCATAGTTTTGGCCACATTTGCCCAACTCAAGTGTGTCAGTGGCAACGAGCCCAGTTAAGATATGAGGCACTTGTGTGTGTGTGTGTGTTGGTCTGAAAGCCGCACTAAGGTTCTAGGCTAACTTTTGAGCCGTTTGGCTAGCAAACCAAACCGGTCCGAGTTACCGAGTATACCAACCTGGCAATTATCGAGAGCTGCGCTCTAAGCTGGCATTTGCTTTCCTTTTCCTTTTAACAATTAGCCGGGCCGCGCCGGGCTGGGCCGGAACGGGGCGAAGGCAAATGATATGCGGCAAGCCAAAAGGAAGTTAATAATTTACCCATGGCTAATAAGCGGTCAGCGTCGCGCGCTTCACAGGAAATCCAATCAGCCGATGACAGTCAATCAACTCAGCGGCAATTGGCAGCAACTGAAGCGGCAGCAGTTGAACATTAACTGAACTTGAAGCCAAATGCAAATGAGACAAACTAACGCTAAAGTGTCGCCATTCGTGCACTTTGAGGCGTTCACTCGACCGTGGCAAGCGGCAAGCAGCCACCAGCAAGTGGAAAGCAGCAAGTGGCAAGTGGCAAAAGGGGCACCACGTTGTAGCTGGGGTAGCCGCATACGAGGTGTTGCATGCAATGCCTCAAAAAAAAAAAAAAAAAAAAAAAATAGATGTATACATATAAAAAAAAACAAAGAAACTCATAATTATATAATTTATCTATTAAACGCTGCGACCCGTTGACAATGACATTTTCTTTTTGACAACATTTTCGTAACAGTTGCTAAACGGTTCGGCCCGGGGCAGGGTAGCGGACGGGACGGGCGGATTATTTACTGGTTGGTACTGGTGGTAACTGGAGGTCTATGTTTTTGACATTTGTCTCTTGTCAAGCGCGTTACACGCCACATAATTATTATTATTTAAATTCGAGTTTCAGGCATGCAAATTGCAAAAACACTCGAGGGACAGGGCGTAAAAACAACAACAAAAACCAAATGACAATAACAACAACAAGAACAACATTAAATTGGTAAGACAAATTATAACGTGGACATGGATACGGGCAACAAAACAGGGTATCTGCCTTTGCAGTCCGGGCAGTCGGACTGTCCGTCTTTCAGCTCCGCCCCGTAATCATGTGTCATATTTATTAGCCAAGTCAACGCACCTGAATATTTTAGTGTGTTTGCTTGTGTGTGTAATTCCTCGTGCTGTGAAGCCGTTCAAGTCAACGCTGCGGCGGGTCGAGGTCATTCATCCAAAAGGCGTCTTTACCATACACACATGCATATACACATATTCAGTTAAATAAGGCTAGTCGAAGATCCCGCTTTAAGGCGAACAATCGAGACCCCTATTGCTAGATGCTTCCCCTTATTCTGACTGGCAGGAAACTCGTATGTTTGCCACATGATGGCAAATCGTATAATGATTGCTTTATAGTTAGTTAGTAGAACTAAATGGTCTTGTGTCTTGCGTAATTAGCCGGTGTTACGCATCTCGCTTACAGTGGTGCGTTGATTTTACAGCAAAGCAACGCAGTCACCATAACGTTCAAGGACATGCATCAAAACGGAATTGACAATTGAAGTGAGACAAACATTCTAGCACATTTTAAAGCACTTGTCTGTGCGACAATCTTTTCGTAGATATGGAATCTCGAAGTGATATTATTGAAGAACCTAGCATTACGTCTTCCGGATCTATTGTGCTATGAGCTCAAGGTGAAGGAAATGTATCGACATGTTATTTGTTTGGCATTTCAATTTAAGAACTTTTAAGGTTAACCAATCATGTCGTACTCTGCCGATTAAATTACTAAATATGTGTTTTTCTAATCAAACCTCAGTTTTGAATCGAGGAGGAATTAAGAAATGCGAAGCTTGATATTAATTAATAATTAATATAAACACGCAAATATCTCTTAAACTCTGGAATTAAAAAAATATTTAATAAATGCTATTATTTATTATTAGAAATAAATCAAGGTAATTAAATAAAACGATATTATTAAATAAAACGATATTATGTAAAATGAAATTAATTTCATTTCGACTTTTCGATTAGCTTTACCATGAGTTTGCGCCAATGTGCAATGGCCGGAAAGACTGAGCTACTTTAGAAGCTTAAAAATGCCACAGCTTTGCATTGGCAGGCAACTGTAGCTGCAGCAGCAGCAGCAGTAACAACAACGGCAACATTCATGGGAAATGGGATTGCAGTCAAAGACAAACGGAAAACCATCAACAAATTTGATTGACAGCCAAAGCCGAGCGCAGCCCACCGCAAAGCGATGCAGCGACGCCAACTGGCAACAGGGCGAGCAGACAAATGATTTTGAGCTGAAAGCCAAATGAATCAACTTCAACTGTTTTGCCTCTGCTTTGGGAATCGTTTGAATCGTAGCCCTATAGCCGTGTTTACGACTAAATGAAATGAAACCGGAAGTCTGGCTGCCAATGCGGCGGGCATGTTCCCAAACGGAGCGGCTCACAAGCCAAGCCAAGCCAGGCCAAACCGAACCAAACCAAAACCAAAGCCAAAACCAAACACAATGCCAAACCAAAACAAAACCAAAACCAAACCGAACCAAATCGCATCGCATCGCATCGAAGTTGAGCGCCAAGTTGCGGGTTCGTTCAACTTTGTGGCGTCTCTCTTGACCATTTAACAATTGAGTTGCCACTGTGAGTTGCCCGCTGGTTGCCACACAATTGAATAACTGGAGGCTGCCAGAAAAAATATATATATATAAATAACTGATGCGAATTGTTTGGAACGCATCGTATGTATGTTTGGGGGCCACACCTTTTTTTTTTGGCCAGATGTCGCATTGCGCTGGTGCTTACAGCGGCCGTTGGATTGTGGGTGTGTTGACGGAATTTATGATAATGATGATGTGGTTGCCGCTGTCGCTGTTGATGTTGTTGTTGTTGATGATGCGGTGCGTCGACTTTTGTGCCACAATAAAAACTAAAGATGGGCCCGCGATAACAATCTGTTCGTCTGTGCACACTTGTGGGTATATAAAAAATATACTCAACACACATACAAACAATAACATTCCACACTAGGTACCATATCCGCCGTTTTTAAGGCACATTTTTAATCAGTTTTCTTGAGTAGAATTGTGTTATTATTTATCCCATATTTATAGACAGAAATTTATTTATTTATACATCGATGCTATCACAATTTTTGTATGTAGCAGTTAAAGTATATTAAATAAAGTAATTTGGTAGCTTGTAAGTTAAGTCATAAATTGATCAATGTTCAGGTACAATTGATTAATAATACTTTTCTCATATTAAGAGGAAATCAGTTGCCCGTAGAATCAAGGGCACATACAAATTATATTTGAGGCTACGAGAAAAAAGTTCTTGATTTGTTTGCATTAAATGAAATAAGAAACTTTGACATGTTGAAACAATCGATAAATATCGAATTACAGGCCATACCGATTTGTTTGCTGAAATAATAAGTGCAAGAAAATACTATGAAATGTTGCCAGAATCGATAAATATCAAATCAACGGAACATATCGATTATATTGATGTCAACGAGAAAAAAGTTTTTGATTTATTTGCATTAAATGAAATAGTAAACATTGAAGTGTTGAGACAATCGATAAATATCAAATCAAAGGCACAAAAACTCACAGTAAAATTAAAATAAAAATCTCTGAAATTTAAAGGAAGTCGATAAACATCGAATCAAAGGCACTTATCGATTAAATTGATGGCAACGAAAAAAGTTCTAGTTTGCATTATAAAAATCCCCACTCAAATTGAAATAGAAAGCTTTGAAACATAAAACATCTATAAATATCTTTGCTTAGCATCGATAAATCTATTTAAAAAACTCGACAACACGCAATAAAAATGGTTGATTACCTACAAATTATCTTTAAAATGAGCTCATTGAGCATCTTTAAGATTTTCGTTTCGTGCCAAATTGTGGATTAAATTAAGTTGAAAAAAATATGAAAACGTTGTCATTAAGAACATGCCAACGAATTTCACATGTAGATGTTGTATTTTTCATTACAAACAAAAAAAAAAAAATAATAAAAACAATACAAAAATAAACATTTGCTAAATTGTGTGAAATGGTTTTGTACGCAAGTCTATTGTTTTGTCGCTTTAAAAACGTTTTGCGAACTGAGTGTTAAAAAATGCATTAGTTCCACCAATCAAGACAATGAATAATTAAATATGTGAAGCAGAGCTGGAAAGCCAAAACAAATATGTCACTGGCTCGGTTCACGGCTCAAATGAACTGCCTTTCGGTTTAGAATTTTGGAAGCAAAGTAAATATGGTTCAGTTCATTTCAGGCAACTACTGGTTTGCAATAAAACTCGGTTGACAGTTAGAAATATTTTAGGATTGCGGGATCGAACCGGTTCAGGTTCAAACCTGGGTTGATTTTAAATGAACATTTGGTAAGCAGCAGCGATTGGATTGCTTTTGTGGAGTATGCTTTATTTAAGTGCGGAAAAAAAAACGATGCATGTGTATATATATTTATATATGTGCATACAGGTGTTCACTAGACTTGTTTATCGGTGCGACTACTGTATTTGGAATTATTTCCAATTTGTGTGCAGTTAGGAATCGCCCTGAGCCTGATCCAAGGCTTCAAGCTCAACGTTCGACCTTTTGCCATTGGCGGTCTTGGTTTCCTCGTACTTCATGCGATAGGTTGCCTGCGGATCGTAGATTTTCTCCAAGCGCTGCCAATCTTCGGGGCGGTTATCGATCAGATGGCGTGTTACCTTCTCGGCGCCATATTTTTGCTTGTCGGTGCATTTGACGCAGTCCGTCATCATGGCATCGGGCAGGATTTCTGTAAATTGTTATTGTTGTTGTTGTTGCATGTGTCAGCCGTATGGGAACTGCAACAAGTGTATGTTGCGCTTACCTTTTAGCATTTTGGCATCAGCCGTGCAGGGTCCCATACTTTCCAGACACTTGATATAGTTGTTAAGCAGCCGCTCCTGGCTGAGTATCTCATCTATATCCACATTATCAAATTTGTTGTCATAGACACCACCCGGCGCCTCAATTAGTGCCGCTGGCATCGCGGTGGTTGCCGGCGGATGGGCACGGCAGAGTACCGCCAACAGCAGCGGCAAGAGCAGCAGCAGCAGCTGACTTAAATTGAAACGGAACATGGCCAAAACGTTGATGTGACTCGTTTGATATCGATTGCCATAGAAGCTGCAGCTTTTATAGCTCAGTTTGTGGTGTGTATTGAATGCAGGTCCAGTTGCGCATGATGTGCGTGTCTCTGGACAATTTAAGCGGCCCATGAGGCGGCCAAATTGCGCGCCAAATTAACTCAATTTAATTGAATTGAATTATGATTGCCAACGATTTCAAGCTGCAACTGCCACAGCAGCCGCGTCAGCAACTACATGCGACGTGGCCAAAAGGAAGCCATGCCTCTTGGCCACTGGATGACAGCGTGTAAAGCATTTTAACTGTAAAAACTCCACAACTGGCATTCTGCGAGTTTGTGTGATTCTTGTGTGAATCTTGTGACTTAGCACTTCCGCCCGCCTGGCCATTGAACTTGGCAGCAGCAACAGCAGCAGCTAAGGATTGGTCCGGCCCACTTGAGGCACCTGCACTTGGCACAGATTTCTGATATCGTTTTGCAGCCACAAATGAGTCGACTGTTCTGTTCAGTTTTGGCTGCGGCTTTCATTTTGCTACTTCATTAGCATAAATACACACATTTCTATTTAGGTCCGAGTGTGTGTGTTTGCGTGTGTGTGCCAGTCTGCGCCAAGTTTGGGGCCAGCAGCAGCAGCTGATGGAACAAAAAGCCACCTGACCAGGTCACAGATTTTGCCCATTTCAAACTGACAGCAGCTGCAGCTCTTTCTCTCTCCCGCTCCCACTCTCTCTCCCTCTCCCTCTCTCTCTCTGTTTCTCTCACTATTTCTCTGTGTGTCTTTCTCCGACTGTGTATTTATCTCAGAATAGAACATGCAGCGTTCAGCTGACTCTTTGGACTATTACCAATGGCTAAGACTGGCCAAGAATTGTTCTTGTTTGTAACTCGCGGATTGCGGACGTGTTTTAAGCGCCGCGCGAGTGTTTTTCTCTAAAATACATCTCTAAAGTCATTTGTGTATGTGTGTGTGTGAGTGTGGCAAAGACTGTGAACCTGAGAATTTTATAAAATGCATTCGCAATTTAAGTTGACCCACTTGTAATGCAACAATTCGTATGTATATAGTACAAGTGCTGAAGGTCAGCTCACAAATTCAATATGCTTTGGTTTTTCAATTATATTTTTGTTGACAAATGGATTCACTAAATGAACAAAAGACTATTGATTTTGTACATTGTCCGACTTGCATAATACTCTGTGTTTTATTAGCTAGTGCAGGAACTTGAAACATGGACACAACCAAATGTTTATCTACTTTTTTTTAAATCTGATTGTTATGCAAATTGTTCCTATCTTCTTTTTTGAATAGGAGAATATTTCTTAAAAAGAAGTAAATAATCTAAAATTTAAATGAGCTTACTTTTGTTTTAAAGGTCAAAATTCTACAACTTCCAACTTGCTAGAAGACATCAAGACAGATGCAAAAATATTGAAATCTCAATATTTATATATTCTCAGTTTTGCAGTCACTGTTTTGTGTTGAAAGTTTTAGAGTCAGCCACAAAATAATCAACAAGTCTCTTTTCTACTCATTTAATGGACAACAGAGTATTCGTATCCGTGAATAGAGTATCGCGGAGTCGGTCACAATCGACTGCAACGTGCTTTTATTTATTTATTTTTTTGTTTAGTGTCATGCATATGAATTCTTTCATACATATTCAATTTAAAACTACGTGTATTCAATGAATAGTTTCGTGTACAATCAAAATTTGCTGAATTAAATCAAATTGTTGTTGATTTCCAATACGATATTTAAAGTTATTTATTGTGTTAACTTTTTATTTATATATTTTTTTTTGTTATGTGCTGTTAAATTCACAAGTCAAATAAATAAAATGACTTGCAAATCGCCTTTATCGTATTTGCTGAAATTGGAGCAAATGGTAAGCAGTGGCTAAAAAACTTTAAGTATTAACTATTTAGTATAATAAGTGCTATTATATTAAGTGGTATTAATGTGTCCACCCACACACACACACAGAAGTGGCCACACGTGCGTTTGGCAGATCTTTGAATATTTGGCTTGATCAGGTTTGATGTAGGTGCTCTTAATTGAATAGTTAGTTAGTTGGCTATAACTATGGACTGCCATGGGCAGTGCTGGCAGACAAGTTAGTTGGATAAAAGATGTCGACGTCGACGTCGACCAAATATGCGGAACGTGAATATTGCAAATGTGCCCACCTACGTGATGAACCAACAAATACTTGAGTTCGACTTCGAGTTCGGGTACTCGCACACAATTCTTATTTATGGCAGCTGCGAGTTTTGACATTTGCCGCCATTGGATACACACACACACAAACACAGACTTATATTTGTGTTTGTATTTAATTTAAGTTTGAATGCAAATAAAGCGCTTGGCTTACATTCAAAGTCCAAAGCCATAAGAATTCTCACATTGGAATGCTCGGTGGCGCATCGCTTGCGGCCACAAGGCATGCCACTCAAGCTGCCGACTCTCTACCTGGTTCTAGCTAATAAATATACCCCGTCAAAGCCAAAGACAGGGCATGTTAGATGCTACTTAATAACAGCCTGCATGCTGGAGAAAACTTGATTGAATATCTGCTAAAACCAATTGAGAATTTTAGCATGTACAATTGAATTGGAGTAAAAATGAAAATATAAATATAAATAAATATAGATGTTCAATTTTCAATTCAGCTTTTTAGTAGCATTTCAAATTCACCAATTTCCTGAATTGCCAAACAAAAAAAACTTTATGATAATTTTTTTGCGTGTCAAAATTGTCTTCTGTGCTTAACACGACACAGTTTTAATGGGTATTCCGTAGTTTATCAGCGTCCATTAAAAAAGGTTTGTACATATTCTGAGTTGGGGCTTCTATAGCGCCCACAACTATCTGGGCTGGTGTCAGGGTGGGAGCGGAGGGTTATACGTGATTTGATGAGCTACACGGTTAGCTTGGACTCAAATGTGGGAAAATCAACAGGGGCGAAAAACATGCCAAGGTATTTACGAGTAACTCACTCGAATACTTATGGCAATGCCAATTTTCCAGTACATTTTCCAGCAAAATTGGTTAAATTTTTTTCCCATTTTTTCACCATTTTTTTTTGGCATCATGTGATTAGAACAGTCGCAACAACAACAACAAACATCGACAATTGGCCGCTGCTAAATTGGCGTCAATCAGAGCTGGCATGTGTAGACCACTCTAAATAAGTGCTGTATGTGTATCTATAGCTATAGCTATAGCTCTATAGAGCAACAGCAAAAGCTGTAAATGTATCCGTATTTGTATCTGGAACTATACTATCTGTGCCCCTCGCTGTGCTTGTAGTTGGCTGTTTAGCTTTAATTCGGCAATTTAGCCATTATTGTTGACCATTTAAGCTGCAAACAATTTGCATTCATTCATCCACGTAGCACGTCATGTCATTAGCAGTTAATTATTTAATGATGCGATGATGCGCCCACTGGGAACTACGTCGCAGACTACCTCAGACTTGTTTCGTTGTCAACAACAATTTTGTTTTTTATTGTTTTTGGCGAATAAATCAACAACAGCTTGCGTTTTTTTTGTTTTGTTTTACATTGTAAGCTAGTTATTTTGTTTGTATCGTTGCAGCAAATCAATTATTCTTGAAGCGTTTCTCCAAATTTGTGAATACTTGACTTCTATATTTGGTAACAGGAAATAGACTCTGGGGTCTAAACAAATTTATGGCACTTTGACATGATAACAAAGAAGAATACGCTAGTTGAGACTAGGAAATATCCTGTATTAAGGTGTGAAATAAGCGAGATTAGAGTGTGGGGTGTGAATCAAGTGAGTGATGCCTATCGCTCTTCTATCGCTTTGCTGTCTCCCCACTTAGAGAAATGGCTTTTCAATTTGACAGATTGAAAAGAAGCTTTGCTTAGGGAGTGAGAAAAGCTTTTGGGTGTTGATAATAAGAGACCTACATATGTGCTAGGCTTGAGTATATCATCAAAATATCTTCTGAATCGCTACTCTGCGATTCTAAGAGAGAGATTCAGGACTGAGTCCGTAAATTTGTAAAACTCTGCTTCACAGCATCTTCGTTGTGTTTATGCGGGGTATAAACTGCATTTATTCCTTTTAGTTGGTTTTTGGCAACATATCCATGTGAGTGCAATGAATAGACGCGTCACGTGCCGCCAAATGAGGCAATGGGGATTCGGACAGCAGCCAAAGAAACCGTTATTCCAGCTAGACAACGATCCCAGCGCATTTTTATCATTGCCGCATCATTGGGGCCAGTCTAACGAGCCTAACGGCTGCCAAACTTGGCATTTGGCGCAAAAAATATTTTCACTATGAACCAAAATCAATAAGAGCCAAAAAATGTGTGTTCCAATTTCCCGAAACTCGAATTTTTGTTGCCGCATACAGTTATCAAAGCCGGGCCGAGCAACTCAGTCAGCCAGTGGGTCCGCTCGCTCTTGGCCAGCTAACGGGTGATGCTGCCGGGTTGCTGCTGCTGCTGTTGGTGGTTGGTGGTGGAGCTGTTGCTGTTGCTGTTGCTGGTGGGGCTGCTGCTGTTGTTACTGCTGCTGCTGCTGCCGCTGCTGCTGCCTAACGACCTCAAAAACCAGTTAAGAGTCAGAACGAGGCAGCAGCAACAGCTCAACTCGACACTTGTGCGATGGAATTGTTGTTGCTGTTGGCGGTGCTTTTAGTTGTTGCCGTTGTCAAGTGTTCGGCATTCCTCTAAGCTAGGCCCAGGTGAGCTGTGCGCGATTAAATGCATGGACACACACATATATATATATCTATATATATATCTGTATAACTCTTGGCTTATTGCTCTGGGATGTTGCCGCTGGCTGTTGCTGCTGCTGTTGCTGCTGCATATGCAAACAGCAGCAGCCTCTAACACGCATATTTATGAGCATTTTTGTGGCTGTTGATTTTTATTGCGCGTGTTTTTGTTTTTCTTTTTCTTTCTCTCTTAACCGATTTGTATTATTGAATGTGAACAAGTTTTGCGACTGGCAACATG